CCCCCCCCCCCCCCGTGGGGGCGGGTCGGTGGACTGCCGACCACGCCCATGCGTAACCCTTCCTCGAACTCACATCCTGTAGGTCCTTTGGGTCGGTCTCATTCAGCTGCATGATGTCAGAGAACACCATCCTCCCCCCGGGCTTCAGCACGCGGGCTGCCTCGGCCATGGACCTGTGCCGCTCCGGCCCGGAGTGTAGGAGAGCATCCTGGGAGGCCACCACGTCGCAGCTGGCGTTTGGCAGTCCCGTTTTGAAAAACGACTTCTCCCCGGGAACGATCACCTGGAAAACAGCCAGCCGAACACCACACACACAAGTGCCCCAATTTCAACGGTGGACGTTGCATCACGATATTGGTTTGGGGACAGGGGCAAACATCATGATTGCAGCTTTTGTATCGATGGCCACGGCGGCCGCTCGTGTTTGCGTTCGTTCACGACTCCTGTGGACACTGTATGCATACAAGAGGTCCCGTTCAACGTGAAAGATTCGAACTTGCGGTTCCCGAGCATGCATTTGTTCTTCCACAAGAAAATAAAATTTTGTGATGACATACGGCCAATCGTGCACCACCGATTAGCCCTCCCTTCGCGCTCCTCTGCCGGTACCTACTGGCCTTGCAGCGTTTCCAACGCACAGCTCACATAGCTGACATATTTTCGACTCCAACAGAGTCCGGCGAACCTCAATGAAACAAAACATTATCCCCTGCTTTAACGGCGTAACTTTCGACAGTATGATTTTTAACACGACCAACGTTGCGAGAGATATGGGCCACGCCAAGTATAGGTGTACTTGCAAAGACCCCTAATGGAGTAAGTACACGATTGCCATAAAGGATGGGTCTAAGAGTTTGGTTACCACGGACGCAAGATGCCTTAATGATGCCAACGCTGCACCCGTACTGAACCTGCAAGCTGGTTTTAGAGCAGAATATGCAGAAGCCCTGGACGATCTGTCATTCTTAGAATCACTCGTAGATGCCATAGATACATACATTGGTGGGTTGTGTCATGACCTTAAGATAACACGTGATGATGTTGAGGAATGGGAGGACGCATTGTGCACAGCAATAGAACAGAAAGTAGGTGATACTGATACAGGAGAGCGAGATACGCCTCTTACAGGCCAAATAGATTTTATGGCAGCCAGGATGGCATATAAACGGCTGCAAGACAAGGTAGTATTTCCAAAAGTCGACAAAGCGGCCAACTGTATATGTATTACATGTAAGGCTTGTTATATTAGGTTAGCGACAACTGACCTTCAAGGACCGGGATATCGAACCATACAAGGGGATTAAGAAGTGGTTAAACGGGAGATTATTGACCGACAACATAAGTTTTTGACAGACGAAAAACTTCCTATCCCCCAACGACAGGATGAGGATGAGGAAGGTGACATTCAGTATGAAAGCACTGAAAAGATACCAGCGCGATTCCTCACAGCCAAACTGCATAAACAATTGGTAGCGACACGTGGAATTACGGCATGCTGTGGGACGATAACGAAAAGGGTGGCCAAGGTTGTCAACGCAGTCCTTGTTAGTATCCGGCCATGCCTTCACGCACTGTGGCGTGAAATATGTGCAAAGGTTGGCATTGCAGCCAAAGAATGTTGGATTACCTTCAGCGGGGAGAATATTTTAGGAGTTGCACAAGATGTTGACATTCGGGCACAAATGGAGGGATGCATCGATGCCCATGTATTTAAAGGGTTGATTTGTAGGCACGTACCCTAATACCCCTGGCATGTACCCTAATATCCCTATAGTCCCACTAAAAGAAAAACTGAGGGAAGCTTTGAAACTTTCGTTTGAATACCAGGCCGAAAAGTACGGATCTATATCCATGTTAATAAGATGGGGAACCGCAGATGATGAAAATACACCAGTTGTTAGAGAAGTGTCATAGTCGAAGGAAGTCCCGCGTGATGTTAATTATTATGTAGGCGGTAAGCACTTTGTGGGCTGGGAACGGATCTGTACATGGGTCGACTTTATTCTAGATGAAGGGTTTGTACAATTTGGGAATGGCATGTACCAACAAGCCTCCGGAATCTTTATGGGAACGGCTCCGACCCCAGACCTAAGAAACATTTTTGCATTTATGCATGAATTGCAGTTTTTAAACGAAATGGATGAGTATCTATTTTAATAGTAGCCAAGACTGCCGGAATTGCACCTCTTTACCCTTTCGAATTCACAGAACAATTCAGTATTGGTACAAAGTGGTACATAGACGCAGTCCCTCGCGGGCGAACCAGGCCACAACAGATAGTAGGCGGGTGGTGTCCCAAGGTAACGTATGACTGCGTTGTGTTGATGTTCCGATGGTCTCGTCCTCGCTTTGATGTCAGGCGCAAAGTCACCACTGGCAGATGGCATCTCTGGATCTTGTTGCACCACTCGCTTACTGACCTTTGCGTTCATAGCTTTTGTGGCATCTGAATGGGTTCCACTGTATTCACGTGGGAAGGGCTCGTGTGTTGGTTTAACACGACAGACAGGGCTTTCTACAGAGTGCGTCTTGTCTGTGCTTGATTGAGCAGCTTGTTGTCTTCACATGTATAGCAAACATCAACACTTTCGGTACCGGATCGCAATCGGGTGCGACAAGAACACTACATCCTTCCCCCCCCTCGGCCTTCTCCCCGGCCGGGGCCGAAATCCATCTAGTGAGTCCCTCGCGGGCGAACCAGGACACAACAGGTAGTAGGCGGGTGGTGTCCCAAGGTGCAACTCACCGCCGCGCTGGCTCAGCGTGGCGGTGAGGATGCACAGACGGTGGTAGTGGCGAGAGGTGTGTATGGACACCGTTCCCGCGGCAGTAATGCAAAGCGGCAAACTGTACCTGGCAACCACCGTCGCGGAAAGCGTGGCCCACAAACTGGAGGAGTAGAGAGTTTCGTAAACACCACGTCAGTATGCACCGCTCGCGGGAGAAGGGAGACAACCGCGGGCACCGCGGGGAGGGAGTGCTGCACCCTCCTCGTCAAAACACCACAGGCAAGAACAGAGCTCTGCAGAGATGGATTGATGCGAGGAAATTCGCCGCTCGGAAAATAAGGAAGAAAGCACACCCGCAACGCGAGGCGGACCGAGAGAGACACGAGACCGCAGCGGCCGTCAAGGCGGCTGCGAAGAAGAAGGCACGAGAGGGCGACCTATCGTTCGGCACGTTCAACGTACGCACGCTCGCCTACAGCGGTAGGAACCCCATCGGTCACAACGTGATGACGGTCATGCAGATTTGTTCCGCGACCGGCTGTGATGTGATAGGACTTCGAGGACCCGACGAGAGGGGCAAGGTTCAATTGCACACGACGGGTACGTCATCATCTGGAGTGGCGCCCGTGCTGGCACCAAGGACAAGAGGGGCGTACACGGTGTGGGCATAGCGATCAAGGAGGCCATGTGGGAGAGTGTGGGCGAGGAAGGTAGGACGGTGGAGTGCATTAGCCCGAGGCTGATGAAGGTGCGTCTACAAATTGGCCGCACCTGCGGAGTAACTTTCGTGGTGGGGTACGCCCCCACGGAAACTGTCCGCACCACCGCGGGCGGTGATGTTAACGCCAAGGACTCCTTCTGGACTGCTCTCGACGCAGTGATCCGGGAGGTTCACAGCCGTGACCATCTCGTGGTGCTAATGGACGCCAACGCACGCACTGGTAGGAGGCGAGACGGGTGCTGCGATGCCAAGATTATGGGCGCGTACGGACGCGACCTTATGAACAACAACGGGGAACGACTCCTTGGACTGGCATCAGACAACCAACTCTCCCTGACCAACACCTACTTCCGTACGCCGAAATGTGGAGTGCAGCACACATTCCAGAGCTCCAACAAGGGGAAGGAGAAGTACCGCCTCGACTTCATCCTCATGCGTCAGACGGACCGGCGTTTCGTGCGTAATGTCTCCGTCAAACGTGTCGACTTCAAAGACTCTGACCACAACCTCGTGCCTACGACTGTCCGCCTCCCCCCCCGTGTCGCACCCAACCGACGAGTGCGGGGGAACAGCGGAAGCAGCCGGATCCGTATCGACCTCGAGCGGTTGAGGAAGGACAAACACCTACGGGACGCCTTCCAAAACAGGGCCTCCGGCCGCCCTCCGCCCACGGCGCTCAANGCGGGGGAACAGCGGAAGCAGCCGGATCCGTATCGACCTCGAGCGGTCAAGGAAGGAAAAACACCTACGGGACGCTTTCCAAAACAGGGCCTCCAGCCGCCCTCCGCCCACGGCGCTCAGGCGGCCAACGGGAGAGACCGTCGCCGAGCTGACGGCTACGGTGATGTCGGCCGCTGCTGAGACCGTGCCGCTGGCGAGGTGCGCACGAGGGCAGAGAGGCTGGTACACGAGCGAAGCGCAGCACGAGATCTCCGAAGCGTCTAAGGAGATTAAGGCGGCCCAGCAGCAACTGCGTGGGGCCTCAAAGAACAGCGCCTTCGAGGCGACCCTGAAGGCTATGCTCAAGGCGGCGCGGAAGAAGCGCAGCATCGCGAGGTGGAGGGCACTAGAAACGTTCTTCGAGGGCTATGTACGGCAGCTCGAGAAGAAGAGCCGCGAGGGGGATCAGGCGGGTTTCTACAGGCACCTGAAGATGATCGACGTCGAAGGTAAGAGGTCGTTCACCTCTCAGAACATCAAGGACGAGGACGGCAAGATCCTTCGGGACCCCACGTTTACTCGCCAACGGTGGGCACGTTGGTTCCGCAAGCTTCTCAACACCAATTCGCCGACCATCGACCTGCATGCGGCTGACAAGGTCAAGCGGTGGCCCACGTGC